ACCATCAACTGTTGGCTGCTTGGTGTGTCACTATAGCAACCAGTGGACAGAACATCCCCTGAGGATTTAGTTGGAGTTTGGTTCGGAAAAAAAAAGAAAAGAAAAGCAGCCTAATTAGGACGAAAACTGAGATTTTGCATGTGTGTTGCTCTCCCTATTTATCTGGTATTTCTAACAGTCCTATATCTATTTCCAGACGTGGGTTAATTTTGCTTTGTGTATTTTAAATTGGCAATATTCCGTATTTCTGACTTGACCCTTAGCCCAAACCCATTTTTTAAACGGAAGCAAGAAAACAACTTTGCTTTTTTTGAGGGAGTGGATGCAAATGTCTATAGTACAGGTCACAACCTGGGTTGCCAACCTGTGCCGTCACCACTTGAATACTCGTTTTGTATCCATCCGGACACCTGACAGTTACCAAGCAATGGCTATAGGTGTTTCTGTAATATTTCATGTCAGTCACGTGTACTCGCTAATGATCATCACAACCGCTAAAGGTTTAGCGCTTAGAATTAACCATTGCTTATTCATACAGACGCGGGTGAGGGGGGCGGGGGTGGCCATTAGTGGAGTGTGCTGCACATCAAAACAAATATTAAGTTGGTTTGCAGCGACCACCGATCCCCACCTGCACGTGGCCGTCACGCCTTGTTACCTTGGCAACAGGGGCTACCACATGCATCCTGTATAGGAGGACAGATGATTTTTTTAAAGGGGTAACGCTGTCTTCATTGCGATGATGATGATGATGTGCGGTCACCACTGGGTCACATCTCACCCTCACAAATACACACACAAAAACATGAGGACTGTGGAAATACAGCCAGTGAGTCAATTCTAGTATCGCAATAAAGAGACCATATAAAAACAAGTTTTAAATACTGTAGCTTTAACCCTTGCAAGCTCTAAAGACATTTGAACCCATTAAAAACAGAATAACTTCTTTTTGGTGACGGTCTTAACTTTGCTTCTAGTGGCGCATTTTTCATTTCAAGTCAAAGGTTGTCTAAGCATTGCTTGCGGTGATGTAAATTTGTTAAAAGTGGTCTAAGATGGTGTGTGGTGGTCTGTCTTTTGTTCCTCCAGCCAATTAACACACTTCTGTTCATATCTCCACTTAAGACATAAAAGTCAGTGGATGTGAATTATCTTGTATTCCGCGGTAAAGTTATTTCATGGAGTTTAAGGTGGCCTATGATGAGTGAAAATTACTCAGTATGGTTATAACGGTAGTTGGCGGTGACCTTTGGATGACCTGAGGCGGTCTAAAATTTTTTAAGGATGGCCAATAGTGATGTGAAATGGCCTAAGGCGGTCGCACCCCCTTCATATCATATGTCTTTTGTGGTGAACAGTCCGCACTTAAATGTTCATAAAATCCTCAAAGAGAGGAGTCTCCATCTTCATACTTTGCCCTGAAACCATTTTCTAAATAGAATCCGATCCTTTTTGAATTTCTCAATAGGATTATGGAAGTAGGGCTGCGCTTTGTGTTTATCACTCCCACTACGGTGGCCTGAGGCAGTCAAAACATCGGCCAAACTGCCGAGGAAAGTGCACCGCGCTCTCCTTGGTCAGCTTGCGGAACGCAGAGGAGGTGCCGCGTATACTGTAAGGGGAGAATGCTGACCCCCGCCTGCTCACCACCCCCACTGCAGCACGTACTGACAGCACTGTGCTGCTCTTTTGGCCACACGGAGCACAAGCATCCTGTGCCAGAACAAGAAGAAAGGAACAGGACTGAATGTCCTTTTCCTCCCTGTCACGGTGGCGAATTGACCAAGCAATACGCTCTCATATACTTTGTTTTCATACTTCACAATGATATACAAGTGTTCCTGAGAAGCAGACTACACTTCTGACTACAAAGTAATCAATTGTAAATTATTACGACCCCCCCAAAAAATTCCTGAACAATATTTCATTTTCCAAGCTCCATAAATGATTTTAGGGCAATATGTGACTCAGTACAATGTACACAATATTTGATTCTATATCGTTGGACAATATTTTTTTTTCCTATCAAACAAGCAATAAATTAATCTGTATTATACTGTACAATGCCGGATATATTATACATCAATGTTTTGGTCGTGGAGGGTAGGCTTACGTTACAATAAAAGAGAGAGAGTGTGCTTACTTGTCCTGGGTAATGTCAGTATGTAAAAAAAGATATATGGCGGGCGTCGCAAACTTGCGGCCCAGGGGTCATTTGTGGCCTGCAGGATGATATTTTTCGGCCTCCTCCTTGACATCAGAATGTATATGCGACCCCCAGATTTTTGTTTTTAAATGACTTTTTCACGACCATAGCTCAGGTGTCGATTTGAATTCCATTAATCATTCCAGCTTAAAAAGCACTCATGCTTTGGAAAACTTTTGTGGTGTATCGTATTGAGAGAATTGGATGTCTGGAAACATGGGCCTAAATGGCAATTTCTCCATATTGTTGCTTTGAACAAGCGAATTAAAATTGAGCCGGATGCATGAAACCTGTGTGTGTGTGTGTGTGTGTGTGTGTGTGTTGGGGGTGTGTGTGTGTGTGTGTGTGTGTGTGTGTGTGTGTGTGTGTGTGTGTGTGTGTGTGTGTGTGTGTGTGTGTGTGTGTCATGAGATAGCTTTGGCGACGTCTGAATACAAAGTAATTGAGATGAAAAGGAAGGCTTCACCCGCAGATAGCGTTGAAGTGGCGAGCATTCTTCCCCGCCTCATCTTTTCAACGCTACACATCCCATTAGGAGGCGGCTGAATGGACCCGAGAAAGGCTACTCGGTCCTGGAGGGAACTGTACGCACGCCCGGAACGAACCCTTTTTGTATCCGGACCGCCTGTCAAAAAACACAGGAGGGAATTAAGAACAGTTTTCGGAGAGAAAAAAACCCAAAAACCCCACAAGTGTGCTTTTTAGTCATCCCGTTTGAATGCCAGTGCCCCTTTAACACTGTTATTCTTGACACCACTTCAGAGCCGCCGCGATGTTCATTATTAAACCTGCGCTAAAGGTCAGCGGTGAACCTTCTTGACAACCAAACGTACTGCAGAACACAGATTCTGTTTTGTTTTTTTTTGGTTGGGTTTTTTTTTTGTGCAAAACACTCCACGCCGTCTTCTTGCCCTAATCATAATTAAGAACAACACCGCGACCTTTGTGTCCCGCTCGTAGTCATCGGAACATAAAGAACTGTCTTCTCTCACACACTAATTAATGCACTTAAAATGTGTGTGGTGTGTGTGTGTGTGTGTGTGTGCGCGCGCGCGCGTGCGTGCGTGCGCATGCCTTCAGGATGGGCCTGTTCCCTTTAGCAAGCAAGTCCCTGTGCACAGACATTTTACATTGTCTTTTTATGGGACAATAAGGCCTTTGGCAGAAAAAAATAGTTTTTTTGGGCAAATTGGGATTTTCATGGTATGATTTTTGTGGCAAAATATTGTGATATTGTGGCAAAATATTATCGTCGTGATGCCATGCAGAGTTAGGTGGCAAAGTAACGCATTTTTGTGGTGAATATGTGTATTTTGTGGCATATTATGTTTTCATGACGCAATCTAGAATTTGGTGTCAAAATATTTTTTGGGGGGAGGAATGATCACGTTTTGAGGCAAACATGGCATTTTTGTGGCACCGCATTGTGCTTATATATAAATATATCAATAAATATAGGTTTAATAAGATCAGCATGCTGTGGCACAATATTACATTTGACCACGAATTTTTGTGGCACTGTGTAACAGTTTCATGCAAAATGTGCCATATTTGTAGCATGATATTGTATTTTTATGGCACGGTACTGCATTTCATGGCAAGATACGGCCTTGTACGGCATCAGTTTTTGTGTTGGGGACACAATACAACATTGTGTTTTGGTGGCATGATACATTTTTTTTGTGGCACAATATGACATTTTGTGGCAAAATATGTTTTCATGCATTATATGATTGTATGACTTGAAAAGGTATTTTTTTTCCTTGTAGGCTAGACGTTCTACAGTAGATTGTTTTCATGTCAACCCACAGAAGATGTTCATCATCATGTTGGATGTTGTTTGAGCGCTGCTGGAGCTGCTCTCAGCTGATGACATCTAATTATCAGCGCCGTTTTTATTTATTCATGCTTTCATGCTGTTTCTAGGGGACAGAGGTGCTTGTGAGCATTTGACGCTCGATTGCACGTCGGCGTGCCGTGCCTGAGCGCAAAGGCGTGTTTGCAAGGTGGCCACTCGGCTCATCGAGCGCGTGTTAAAATAATGATGAGGCCTTCGCCCCAAGAGGCTTTGGTGGCCAATGTAAATGTCCGTAAGTCCCCCTTGGCGTTAAGCTCGGCTCCGATGTCAATTCAAACTATGGTTATCGTCACACCTTCGGGTGGAATAATGGAGCTTCAAGTGGCCTGAGAGTAGGATCAGGCTAAGTGCTGGAAGTGATCACTGCTGGGGGATTTTTTTTTATTTTTATTTTTTTTTATAACGAAGGACTTTGTGGAATAAAGTTGATATTTTTAAAGAAGAAAAAAAATCCTTGAAATGTACAGGTATATTACTTTTCTGACAGATTTTTTTTATAACGAAGGACTTTGTGGAATAAAGTTAATATTTTTAAAGAAGAAAAAAATCCTTAAAATGTACAGGTATATTACTTTTCTGACAGCATACTCTAATTTTCTGTCACAAACTACTTTTTGCGACCAAATAGGGCATTTTCTTGAGAAACTTTTTTTTTGCGTTTTACATTTAGTTGGGAATTTAAAGCCTTTTCCTGTGCTTTGTTACTCTTTTCTAGCAGGGTTTTACTTTTTAATGTATGATTTTCAGATTATTGACAAATGATTGATTTGTGGCCAAAGATTTTTTTTTTTTTTTTGGCAGACAGCTGACAATCACTGACAAGCCACACCCAAAAATAAAGAAGGTATTTGTGTGGCAAACTACATGTTTTAGGTAACATTTCTTAGCCTTTTTGTGTCCGAATGATACACGTTTCATGACAAAAATCTGGCTTTCGTTGCAAAATGGAGTGTTTTTAATGAAGAATTTCCATATCCTTAATCACACGTTCATCTATCAGTCAACATTAATGTGCTCTTGTTATTTTTTTTGTTTGCAATCTCCATCGGTACATAAAAAAGACTTCATGCATCATATTGTTTCCAAAGTGCAAAAACAGACTTTTTATGCACCAAGCAGCGAGCATGCCAAACATATAAAGTACAGCAGCATCAATCCATAAAGCTGTCCAAAACGAGTGTGTGCATCAAAACGTGCAACATTTGTCCCGTGTTTCCTTTATTTGCGCAACTATGAGGTGGAAAAAAAAATGTTTTATCCGCACGCAGAAGACAGGAGACCGCAAAAACAATACACCATGCCTTCGTGTCAAAACATTCAGGAAAATACAACTACCCCAAAGTACAAACGCGACACGGACGTGAGGTAACGGCTTGTAAACATTTGTTGTCGCTTTTTTTGTTCAAGTTGGCAACGTTGAAACTCACTTGAACGCTCCGCGCGTCAACAGTTGGCTGCTTTTACGCACAAACTTTACGCACAAAGGCTACTCCTTTGGAGTCACTTGGAAGGAGACGTGACCGTTTTGCATATCTAATTTTCACTGATTGACAGACAGGAAAGGAGGTCTTAGGGTCGGGGGGGAGTTGGGTCGCAAACGTCGATTAAGTTCATGCAGATAAGACCTCGGCTCCGCTCCCTTGCTCCCCTTTTATGTGAGTCCGATCATTCCGGTCTCCACGTCCTTGGAGGGCCGGCGCTCCTTCACCAGGAAGTTGATCATGCTCTCGGACTTAATCATCAAGTTGCATCCCAGGAAGAAGACCCCGAAGAGCACCGTGAGCGACAGCACGCACAGCACGGCGATCTGCACCACGCGCATCACCAGCAGTTTGCGCTCCTCCTGCAGGAGAACAAGGGAGCCTCCGCCGGCTCCCACGCCGCCGCCGCCGCCCGCACCGCCGTCGCCGGTCACCGCCTGCTCGCTGCCGTTGCCCGAGTAGGCGGCCAGCGTCCCCGCCAGAGTCTGGCTGCCTTGGAGGAGCGCCCCGTGCGTGGCGTCGAGGAAGGAGGAGGCGTTCATGGCTCCAAGTTGGCGTGAAGGAAATGAGACGAGCAACTTGGCGTCATGGATTTGAAAGAAAGAAAGAAAGATGTGGAGTTGAGCGCGTTAATGATCACATGGAACGACTCAAGTCAGCTGAAATTTAAAAACTAAAAAATAAAAATAAATTGCTGGGGTTGTTGAGCGTCCACGTCTTGGTGGCTTCTTTTCGTGGGTCCTCTTAAAAGAGTGTGCAAGGTGTAATAAGAGACTGAGCGTGGGTCCCCCCCCCCCTTACTCACCCCCACCCATCTCTCCAGCGCTCCTTTTGTGACAAGGCTTTGGTGCGTTGAAAGTCATGATGAGCTCCCCACCAACTTGCAGTCCGTGTCTTGGGAGGGAGGGGTGGGGGGGGGTCATGTCAGTCAGTCGCCACTCTTTTTAAAAAAACATCTTATAATAAAACCGAGTCATATTTATTTATTTCAAATAATGTCAAAGTTTGAGAGTGCGCTGTGGAGCTGTGCCCCATAATAAACACACGTGCAATTTCAAAAGTGGCCGTAAGCATGGTCGTCGACCCGGGGGGGAGAGAGGAATGGGGAAACTTTCTGGGGCACCCCAAGCATTTTTTTGTGTGGGGGGGGGGCTTATGAACCCCCCCCCCGTCCCTCCCCCCAGATACATTCATTTTGGAAATGTGAACAAAGGTGGAAAGGGGAGACCCTGCTCAGCTAGTAGAAAACAGAATGAACTCACTTCACAACAAGCAGAAGTCCGGCAGATCGTAAAGTCTTTGAAGATGTCTTCAAACTGTTCACTGCTACTCCCAGTCCAAGTTTGCTACACAACCGCATAGCTTTTCCCATTTATCATACTGCTTTCAAACAATTCAAAATGCCAAAAACAAACTCGCTTTCAAAAGAATTTTGTTGTACAGTACTACAATTCAAAAACCATCAATCATCATTCTCGGATTCACTTTTTCTTTCATGAACAGAACGGTACCAATCATTTTTGCCTGCGTATCTAAATCGAGATCAAGGCGGAATTTCCAAAACAGTTCTTGTATTGGCTCTACTAAGACGGGTGGTCCTAATGAAGGGGCTTCTGAGTTAAACACCGGTTGCCGTGGAGACGTCCGCCGCCGCTTGGGAATTGTCAGTTCCGGCGAGTTATCACTCAGAACGGAAGACATGAATTAATAAAGTATGATTGAGCCGAGGCAAATATTTATTACGGCTATTGGCTGCCCTCCCCCAGTTACACCGGCTGCTTCTCTGCCAAGCTGCAGCTCAAAATAAGTCCAAACGTATTAAATTGGGAAAAAAAAATTAACTAATTTACATATCCCGCGATTTGTAAACAAGTGCATTACAGTTAGACCTGAAAGCTGATCCGTGAGGAAACTTGAGCCGCTGTCGAGCGAGTAAAACCGGGTCCTTATGTCTTTCATGTCGTTCGTCGTGCTTAATAGAAGGAGAATCTTCCTGCCCCCTGCATGTACTGATGTTTTTGTGGCACATGATAACATTTTGTGGCAATATGTAGCATTTTTGTGTCCAAATATTCTGTTTTTGGAGCACAATGTGCCATTTTGGTGGCATTATGTGGGTAAAATGTGGGCAAATATGAAATTTTACTCAAATATATTGTTTGTTTTTACGGCCGATATGTTTCACAGGCTGATTCCTGTTTCACATCTTTGGTTTAAAATTTCGTTTTTCCTCGCACCAGTTTTGTGGTATTGTATGCAGCATTTTGTGGCAAACAAAGGCAATATTAACATTTGTGGCACGTTATGAATTTATGTGGCATCATTTTGTGGCTTCATGGCACAATATACTATTTTTGGGCAAGATATTGCCTTTTTGGGGCATTGACTTGTTCGCCTGGCATACCGAATTGTGCCAAATACTGTCTTGCATTTAAAAAAATTTTGTGTGTCAAGATTTCAGTTTTGTGGCATCATCGTGTCTTTTCCAGGCAAAATATAACATTTTTGTGATGGCACGTTATTGCATTCTGTGGCCAAGTATTGCTTCTGTGGCACGATAATTTTTTTTTTGGGGCGGGGGGCAGAATATTCAAATTCTCAAAATTCAACTTGAGTTGGCGCCGCTAGAGATGGCGTCGGGTGTGCCTGGGCTACATCAAATTGTTCCACAAAATATTCAAGTATGAACAAAAGTACTACCAACTAACCCAATCTTCTCAATCTTATTAATAACAGTCGAGAACATGAACGGTTCTTCAGAACGTGAACAAGATTGGTAACCAGGACTTCGCACTCGTCTCGCGGCTACTTTGCATGTCTAGTTGAGCAGTAACCGTAACTTTCTACGTGCCTTAAAGACATGTCGGGGTGCTTCCTGTGCTCACCTCCCCACAAAAAACAACAAAAAAAACCATCCATCTCCTGTTTGTCTTGAAATTAGCAGCCAGTAAGTGATTAAAAAAAAAAAAAAAACAGGTGGCAGCAATAACATTACATTTTGATCTCAAGTAGGCGGCCGTGAATTCTCATCCTGCGGGCCACAAATGGCTCGTAGGCCACAGGTTTGAGATCAGTGCTGTAGGTCTTCAGTAACGACGGCTCCACAGCCTTTATCGGTCAATTCAGAGATAAACACTTGTCGGGGTGGTGATGGGCGGCTGTCATGGTAATCATCAAAAGGCCACCGCCCCCAATTGTGATAGGAAGGAGGCAGCAAACATCTCTGATGCTTTGTGTTGCTTTTATGTGAATGAAATCTCATTAGTCGGCGGATTCACCTGCAGCTAATTAATTTCCTATTTGCAAATCAACAAGGTGTAATTGTGTGTCTATTAATAAATCAAAGTCCGCCTTTGTAAAGTAGCGCGTCCTTCAGATAAATCCCCCTTTTGAGGTGATCGGCAGAATATTATGCTTCCGTTGCAAAATATAGCATTTGTAAAGGCAGAATATTGCATTTTGTGGCCTAATATTTTGTGTTTGTGGCACTGTACTGTATATACTTTGCGGTAATATTTAATTTTTCTGGTGCAATGCAGCATTTTTGGACAGCATTTATATTGCCGAGTATTGTTGTGCTAGTACAATATACTGTAGCAATTTTGTGGCACTTGAGTAGTGTACTTGAGCAATATGGCCTTTTTGGTGCAGAATATTCCATTTTATGGTACAATATTGTCGTATTATGTTTTCATGGCGCAACAGTATTTTCCTGCAAAAATCTTGTTTATGTGAACACAAAATTTGGTGCTGTAAAATTGTGTGTTTTTGTGGCACAACCCACCCTTGCAGTGGTACAAGAGAGTATTTTGGTGGTGGAATATTCTATTCGGTGGCACAATGTGGTTTGTGCGTGTACTGTACAATGAAATCATCTCATTAGTTGGTGGATTAATCTGCAGCTAATTAATTTGCCGCATGCAAATCAACAGTCTCAGTGTCTCACAGTGTGTTTCTGGAAAGCAGTGTGTACTTCGTGTAAATCCTCCTTTTGAGCTTCAAATTAAGCCACACGTTATTCATGTAATCCTTTTTAATGAAAATGATCCGGAACACAGAAGCGCTCTTGAACCTGTTGCTCAAACTTTCCACCGTGAGTCCAAAACTTCATAAAGACATATTGTGGATGCATCCCCTTCGGGCGGATGTGAGACTTGTTTCCAAGCAACAGCGGACCCGGGAGCTCGGTGACAGATGGTTGGTGAAGTTATTTTGAGACTTAGTGGAGGGGGTTGGAGGGGGGTGGCGTTGCGAGGGAGGGGGACTTTGGAGGCCAACAGAGGTGCTCAGGCCGACTAGACGGGTATGCGGGGGTCGCGAGACTGTTTGCGCTGAACGGGACGGACTTGGCAGCCTAGCAACGCAAATGAAGCGACGGCGTCCCTGATCGAAGAGCTCGTCATGACAGTTTGGGTGCTACAGGTGGTCTGCGGGGATGGGAGGGGGCACGCTCACCAAGATAGGTGCCAATTCATTAGGATGGTAGAGTCGGAAACAGTGGTGTCGATCTGGGGGCGGGGGGACTTTCTTAAGGGCCCCAAGCATGCTGGGGGTGGGGGAGGGGGGGGGTTCCTTGTAAATCCCCCAGTCCACACCGAAGTTTTAATATATATATAAAATTTTTTTTTTTTCTCGGTTCCATCCCTGTGGGTCAGCTCCAGGGATGCGCATTTTATTTGTGCCACGTCGTCTCCTTTACCCACTCGTTCACTCCCCACCTGCTTTTCTAATCAAAGCGTCGCTGTTATGGCAGTGATTGGCTGTGAGCGAAACGCTTAAAGGCTTCAGCGGAGATCTATAACCCCACAGGGCGAGACCTCCCCCACGCTCCCCCGGCTCTCTTTTCCCTCCACTTGTCTTGTTCAGTCTTAATTGGCTGCCATCTGACCCAGTCTAGCTCCTTCATTCAGTGCTGTGCTCTTCCGGAAAGGCCACTCATCTGTGGGCGAGATTCCCAACAAAAGGGTGCCGATACATCCCATCAATACACACACACACACACACACGCACGCACGCACACACACAGACACACACACACACTGAGTGAAGGCAAGCACAACTATTATTACTCGACTTACTCCGCTATTTCCGTCGTCTCTTTCTTTTTCTTGCCGGCGGTAGCTTAGCAACCGTCCGGAAAGCATGAGGAGGGGGGGTTGGTTGCCTATGGGGAGTGGGCGGCATGAATGATTTAAGATATGGACAGACAAGAAGCATCTGCGTGTTTGGGTTGCATGTTTATTAAATGCCAACCGGAAGACTTTTTGTGTCTCTTTTAATGCTAAAAGTAAAGCGAATGAGTGTGAGGCATACTTACCAAAAAAAAAAAAAGTACGGGTATTTGTTTCCATTCTTAAGTGACAGATTCCGATCCTGTCTCATTGAAGATGTCGCTTGTGTTAAAGGATGTCACCACTAGGGGGGGCTCTACCACAACCTCCAAGCGCAAACAGTGTGGGGATATTATAACGTTCAATACCGTATCGGAGCAGTGTGGAGCTCCAACCTTCTTTGAGCCAAAGCAAATATTTGACATCAGAAAAAGCGACGCAACTTAACAAAATTGCCACAAAAAGTATAAACAGTAATAAAATAACTTAAGATGCCAGCTGATGATGTTGGTCAACTCAGGAGTGAACACAATAGTGAACAATTCTTATTAACATTATCTTTATTAGTATATATTGTATTATTTATACTATTGTATTCGTAGTTCAATCATTTTAAAGCGTTTGACCAGACGATAGGTTCACTTTGATGCATTTTATTTGCTTTTTTTAATGTAACTTATTTTTTACTTATTGACGTATTTATTTATTTATTTATTTTATATCATTTCACTCATCTAAACTCCCTAAATGATGCATCTAAGACTCTATTTTCTTACATTATATTTCTATTTGTATATTTTAA